TTCCCCTTTGTTTCCTGCTATAACCTGTGCACACACAGTTCATTAGAAGTATCTTTAGATTGTAAGCTCTTATGAGCAGGAGTGTTTTATTTTTGCCACAATCCTATTTTTGTGACTCACCAAGATATTGACTGTACCTACTTGTTCCTGCTGACCAAATAAATGAAGATATATTTGATCAATAAATGTTTGACCGATGTTTTTGTGTTTATTTTATGTTCAATATATGAACAACCTTAATAGTTACTTTGTATACTTATATAATAATCTGCTCAAATGTAGCTTGTAAGAGCGTGAATATGCAAGTGTGTGCAAACTGGCTTTTTCAAAACCAAAAAAAAAAAAAAAAAAACCGCTTGCACCACAATATTATGTACTAATGAATGTCACATTCACTGTGCAGCCAGCTACAGGTTTTCTACAATTCGATTTACAGTAATAAAATAGTCCACACTTTGTTGATTTTTGGCCTTTGGCAACAAATATATATTAGCCAAGGTTAAAAAAACAAATCAATAAGAAACACACATTCGCGAAAGCTATCATAGCCGCGCATAGAAATGCGCGATTGCAAACAAATAAGCGCCAACACAGGTGTCCCCATGGCGCATGAACGGCTATCCTCCCGGAAGTCCGTCATCACGTGCGCGCGCACCCCGGAAGTGGTTGTGGGGAGTGTAAGTGGATGAGAAGTGGTTGGAGGTTTTGTGTTGGTTGAAAATTTTGATAACTTTATTGGCATTTGGACATGGCGAGAGCACAGTTCTCAACTGAGGAGATGATCCTTATATGTAAAGTAAGTGTGGCCATTGCAAATATGTTTATAACATGTGAGGGACAGGTAATTGTAATTTTGGGGGGTGGGGCCTAGCAGAATCTCACTTGGTGCACATGCTACTTATCTGTACATTAGCTCCTGGGTATTGATGGGTCAATGATATTAACCACTTGCCTACTGGGTACTCCTACCCCCTTCCTGTCCTGGCCAATTTTCATCTTTCTGCACTGTTACCCTTTGAATGACAATTGTGCGGTCATGCCACATTGTACCCATCTTAAATTTATATCAGTTTTTTCAGACAAATAGAGCTTTCTTTGGGTGGTATTGACTTGCTGCTGTGTGTTTTTACTTTTTGCTCGATAAACAACAAAATAGCTCATAATGAATAAAAGTCTGTTTATATTATAACATTTGGTAAACTGGTAATTTAGCAACACTGATGTGCGTTGATGAGGCAGCACTGGTGGGTGGCACTGCTGGCCACAGGTGGGCGGAACTGTTGGGTGGCACTGGTGGGGCACTGGGCATCTGATCATCGGTGCTGACCCCTGCTCTGATAACTGCTGGTTCTCGGCAGTACTTTCCACACATTCTGACAGCGTGATGAAAGTGCAGCCAAAGACCCGGCAAATGCATTTCCCGGTGATCAGCGTGTCATTGGACATGGCTGATCACATGGTAAAAAGCCGCCGCTGTGATTGGCCTTTTACCACACATCACGTGATCAGCTGTGTCCTTAGGACACAGCAATCACGGAGAGCGCGTTCTGCCAGGATGTCATATGACGCCCTCCCAGAGCTGCCTGGATGCAGTGTGTAGCGTTATTCGGCTATCTGCGGTCGCCAAATAGGTAACCAGCTAGGCCTTCATGGCTAATCTTTGAATATCTGGACATGTATACTGCGTATAATGCATTACATTCTACAATGTGTTGGTGTACATGGTATTACAGTGTGCAATGCGTTGCTGGATTCTGCATGACAGTGGACAGCGTATCACAGTGTGCAATGCGTAGCTCCAGCCTGCATGACAGTGTACAGTGCATTACAGTCTACAATGTGTGGGTGTACACGGTATCACAGTGTGCAATGCGTTGCTCCATCCTGCATGACATGTACAGTGCATTAGTCTACAAAAGACGGTGTGGGTGTCACGGTCTTCATCCCAGTGTGCAATGCGTAAACTCTAAATGCATGACAGTGTTGACAGTGCATTACATACAATGTGTGGGTTACCGGTATCAGCCGTGTGCAAAATAGCTCTATCCTGCATCGGCAGGATACATTACAGTCTAAATGTGCGATTTTCATCTTGTATCTACAGCCAGCAAAAAGTGTCTGCAAGGCACTGCTGAATTTTCTTTGCCCAGCACCCCACATTTACCCTTGTAGGGCTAACAATTTGTCCCCTGTATCCATTTAGGATACAGATGGCATTCGAAACCAAACGATCAAGTGTGCAATGCGTCATCATGTCAAGCCGCAAAGGACAAGTACAGTCTTGTCAAAGCAATGTGAATTGGTGTACACGGTCAGCAACGTGTTGCAATGCGTAGCTCAAAAACCTGCATGATCCTGGAAGTACAGTCCTTACAGCATTTAAGAAAATCATCCAAATGTTGGTTGACATCCGAATTTATCATCTGTCTTCATCCCGCTTCTTCACACATGTACCTCATTCCAAGAACGAAAACTGAACCTGTCAAGTCCCGAAGCAAAAGCGCAAGAAATCGAACACATGGGATCAGTGCACTTGTCATACAATAAACGAGCTGCCAATGGCATGTACAAACGAATAACTATCAGTGTACCTCAGCAATGCGAATTTGCATCTATCAATATCTGATTTGCCATATGTACAGAACCGCGAATACATCATACGAATGTGAAAAAATGCCGTTCAAACGGTAAGATCACCAAACAGCTGCGGATCATCATGGCGTCATTAACCGACACTTTTGGGGAAAGACAGGTGCATGAATCTTCAGAACGAATTTGCTCATCATACCGGCATCACTTGTGGGTGAATCACCAGATCTTCTTCTTGGATGACAAGAAAAACAGGGCATTGATCATACGGTGTGTTCCTGAAAACTGAACTTCATCGCCACATGTGCATTCAAAATTGCATCAGATCCTCTTTGCACAGCCGACCGTGCATCAGTTACAATGAGCTAAAATCACAAAGTGGGGATCGAATCGGGAGTTTTTCTTGCTGTGTGTAACTGGTATCAAATTCTACATGTGGAATACGAAAAAATTTTTCATTCCGATTGTACCCTGCCCATCAGCAACCATTTTGGTTCGTCTATCCGGATATCTGCATTTATTAAAGGCCGCTGTGTGGGTGTATTTTTTCACAGTGTCAGTTGCCTTTACTCACATGCTATCACGGGCAGCCTCCTATTACCAGCTTGAAATGACAATGCGACAAAGGATGGGAGAGCTAAACCTGAACACACAGTCATTTTAAAACGGCTGGATGCCCCCGAATACTGCAACACGCGCAATCTTGGAACTGCATGACATAATCTTTTAAGACTTGAGGCCATTGTCCTGGGGAGAATGAACCACATTTACATTATTTTGGTGTGCAACAGGTGCAATGCCCGCACAGGAGTCTGCATGACATTGGACAGTTATTAAAGTGCCAATGTCCTGCAGTATGGTCCCAACGCATGAAGGACGAACAGTGCATTACAGTCTGCCAATGCTGTGGATTAAGCCCAATCATCAGAATAACCATGCGTTGCATCCCATCTGTGTAAATCAGTAAGTGTGGGTGCCTTGCACTAGATGGTTGCATCCATGTGTAACAAAAGATGAGATTGATTTGAGCAATGCAATGAGGAGTCTTCTCCCCAATGACACTGGCCATGATCGCAAATGCCTGCATCCAATTCGCAAATTGTCCGTGAGATTTTTTTCACGAAAACGCCGCTTGTCAGCGGTATCACAGTGTGCCTGGGCGTACCCTCCAACCCGCGACCCATCTAACGTGAAAACGCTCAAAAGGCAAGAGCGTGAAAATGTCCAATACTCCCAGTGTGCATGCTCCCGAACCTCCGACGGTAAGTGCATTACAGCCAAAGGGCCCTCAAATCACACAGATATGCCTGAATTTGCAGCCGAGTGTTCCACGCAACCGTCCCGGAGACCCCAGCACCCCATTACAACCCCGGAAACCAGAACACCTGCAAAGCGCTGTAACTTTTGGTGCAGAACCAGGAAGAAGAAAGCCACAGCTCATGCCTGTACCAAAAGCCATTGCGATTTAGGACCCCGACACCCCCGGCGGCGGAAGCCACGTACAAGCAGGCCCATTCAGGTGAATGCACTACCCTCACCCTGCTCAAAACGCCGCAAAAAAATTTTACTCAGGCCGAACATCAAATTGATCGAGACCCCCCCTGTGCAAAATGACGCGGGGAACGCCCACATCCCTCTCCGCCGAGAAGAGCGCCCCCGCCTGCAACAGGTCCCGAAGCGCAAAAGAGAATAAAATTGGAACACCAGAGGCTGCCCAGGAGATGTTGCCCAGGAGTGCCCGAAGTTTACTCCACAATGCTGTATGTGAAGCCAGAATAAAAGGCCATTTTGTCACTTTTACCGCATGGGTTAACATTATGAAGTGCCCTTTCTCTGTCGAACTGCTCTAGAATGGAACATGCATTTGGATGTCCCAGGAGTATGTGCATTTTGGAAGTATTCTAAACACACATTGACCCTAGGGCACCAGCCATATCTTAAGCCCCTCGATTGTCCCTGCTGTCCAGTACATTCAAAGCGATTTACACTCCACATCTGCCAGCCAGCTACCTTAGCTGCTGATCCTTTTAAAAAGCAGCCGCTTATGCACAGACAGCCAGAGGCCCCAGCATTCCCGACTCTGCCTGTCAGGGGATTGCCCGGCAGCCGCAGCGCTCATCTCCCACGTTGGGCTTTGGTGTGCATGCAAGAAGAACACCATCATGAGCCACGTTACCAGAGAGTCAAGCTCCGTTCAAGCCGTGCGGGCGGGGGGAAATCAGGATGGGGCTCCACTTCAAGTAAGCATTAGTGTGCCTGGGGGGGGGGGGGACCTTGGGCCTTTCCAAACACAGTAGATGCTCCAAGAATGTTTCCTTGAACTCTTGAAATGGTTAAAAAGGAAAGACACTCTAGATAGCCTGCACTGAGAATTGACTGTCATGATGACGTGTCAATGATTATTTGCTCTCATTTTTCAGGAGTGGTACTGCTTATGGTTGAAGCTGGTAGAAATGTTGAAGCTGGTAGAAATCCACCTTCACGTCCTCCACCACTCACCTTCACTTGTGGCCAGTGGATATTTTTGTGGCCCAGGCAAGAACTGGCATCGAGGACCTTCATAAAGACCCTGGCATGTCAGAGGTGGTTTGGAAGCAGCACAGCAATTTGACCATCCCTTTCCTCTATGTTGGTTTTAGGGGTGCAGAATTGCTTCTCGTTCATGAACGGACTGTCGCCGGATATCAGAGTCCCCATATTTTCAAGATATGTTTTAGCCATGTTGGCTTATTTTTATGTTGAGTCAATTAAAGACTATTTTTTGTTACCTTAAAAAAGTGTCAGATCCTCTTGATTGTATTCCCGAGACTTAAGATGGCCAGATAATATGCAATCTGAGGAAAAGTCAGTGCAATGTCCTCCACAAGTAGCTAAAGTCTGTCATAGGAGGACCTACCAGAACAATGCATTCATTTGGAGTGGGCCAGGCCCATACAGTACATCATGGAGGTTTGCTATGAAGGAACATTAATGTTTGGATACTTGAGCTCATGTGGTTTGTTTCCAAATTTTCTGCCCATTGCAGCGTATTGACTATTGCAGCTCAATAAAGATCAGGCATACAGAAAAGTGTACCTTGTCCATAGAATAGCCACTGGGAGGTCCTATCTGGGAACACAGATCTGGCCTATGCATAATTGTGGAAAATGCCAATTCGGTCTGCTTTATAATATGAAGGGGTTAGTTCACGCTTGCTTCAGGGGAAACATTACAACGAATTTTGTTATTTTTCATAGGAAAACGTGGCCGATCCCTAGATGCATTGAGGTACATAGCAGAGGTTCAAGATACTCCATAGAAGAACTTATTGTTCTTCCTAACTATACAGGTGGCACAGACACAAGCATACACCCAGGGCCACTGTTAGATATCACGGGGCCCCATACAGCATATACCTGACAGGCCCCCACCACCAGAGAAAATATCCAAATTATATATATGGTAAAAATACACAACATTTTCTTCATGGACACAATCACAAACAAATTCCTGTTCAATCCAAATGATAAACCTGTACTGAGTTAATAAATCAAACGTTGTGTAATTGAGGGCTCATTCACATGGGTGCTGTGGCCTGTAGAGTGTGAATCAGTGTTTGGTTTTTGTGGCTGTCGCCATTAGCATGCAACCTATGTTACACTATGTGAATACTGCAGATCCTAATTTGACAAGCATATGGTTGCAGGTGTACAGCCCTGAACACACAGTGAGCATTCAGGGCCACTTCCCCACGCCTTCACACTTGTCAGATTAAAACCTGTGTTCATACAGCTGCTGTGTCCCCATAGTGTAACAGGTGGCTCTAGCCACATAAACAACCCACTCATTCATGCTGTACAGGCCAGAGGACCTGTGTGAATGTGGCATTTTGTGTTTGTTATATTTATTTTTTTTTCCAAAGCCCATTGAATTCAATGGGCTGCTTAACATGTGGAAACATGCCAAAATACTGCAGGCATGTTATTTTCCAAGTGTGTCGCACCTAACCGCACAGTAGTGTGGTGCCATGCGTTTTTGTGGCTGTGAATGGGGCTGTTTTTAATAGACGTGTGTAGGTGCAATAACGTTTTCATCATGGTACCTGCGCACATCTACATAGGGCATTGCATTTTTTTGCTGTGCTGGAAAATGTGTGTTCTTGCATGCGTTTCTGCACCACCAATGGTGTGAACAAGTCCTAAGGTCGGTTCACACTATAGAAACAGTCTAGATGTGTTCCTGATGGGTTTTTTTTATGCCCTTTTGGCATGCATGTTTAGTGTGTTCCAGTACATTTTGGATGCATTTTGGACATGTTTACATTGCATTTTTGTATCCCTTCCACTTATTTTTTTCTATTTTCTTTGTATTCAATGTAGTTAGGGACATGTGCGTTTTAGTACATTCAAGGACGTTTCAATGTGTTCCAGTACAGTTCTGTGCAGAAACAATGCAGCGTGGTCAACTTTGTTTACAGCACCTGCAATGCACTGAAAATGCAAGCGCTGATGTGAACTATGACATTGACAACCACATAACCTTCTTTCTGTGCGTTTGTGATGCCGAAAAAGCAACTGAAACACATGTAGTGTGAACTGGCCCTAAAGGTTATTACAGGTCAGGGAACGGGACTGACCAGGAATTGTGAATTCAATCAGACTAGTGGTGAAATACAATCAGCAATTGTATAATAATGTGAGATCTGAGCTGTAGCTGATAGAAAATGAGACACATTCACTTGATCAGTAAATAGATAGTTAAAGAGTGGGGCGGTGATCCATAGATTTGCATTTTTTTGTATAGTCATTAGGCAAAATCATAATTGATTGATCAATATTCCTGGCATTCATCCACTGACACACTGACACCCCAGAAAATTGATCTCCATTTTTTGGGATGTAGCCATGACTGAGATTAGAACCCATGACCCAAGTGCTGTAAGTTCTGAGCTCTAACCACTAAACCACTGTGGGAGACACAGTTTGAGCTATAATGTAGAATAGTTACATTGTTTAAAAATGATAGAGCAAGCACTGGTCAAATGATATAGACTAGTAAAATGGTATTACACACAAGATAAATATAACCACAAACAGTAGTGCATGAACTCGTGAAAGGTCATCCACCCTTGTGACAGTGTACTACACTATTGAGCACCTTTCTGGCTCCTGTGGCTGAGCTAATTCCTCCCCAGGACCATTTGGGCACCCACCCTGATGGATGGATTGAGCTGGATGACTAACCCATAGCTGCCAGCATACCGCTGCACCCCCAGATGTGTGATGTGTATAACCCATGCACATTAATACTTTTGTTCTGGTGAGTGTAGACCAGTCCCAAGGGTGGTTTACCTTTCACGAGTTCATGCACTACTGTCCGTCACGGAGAGACCACACGTGAAATTCATAGGCACTCTATGAGTTGGTACTCTCACACGAAGGACATTCCATTATTCAGGAATGATTCTATGAACTTATTTTAGCACCAGTTACATTTTACATCATTGTTGCAATTCTTTGCACTTTTTGGTTTTTACATGCGTTCATTATTGATCACATGCATTTATAGCGCTGCACTTGTCTTTAACATAGAATAGTTACGTGATTAAAGAGAATGAAGATATATAATTATATTGGGAAATTAGAAGTATATAAATTATTTGAGATATAAGTGTGAAAATGTTTAACATTTGAATACAGAATGTATGACATTCATTAGTAAATGCATTAGTTTCCTGATCATTTTGGAGAAACAGCAAAAAAAAAAAAAATAAAAAAAATAGGAAATTCTAATACAGGTGTACTATTTATTACATTCTAAGGATTCTCTTTTGCTACCAGAAAAACGCCAATATTAATAAAGCCCGCGCTTTATTAACATATCCGGTATTGCACCTAAAAATGTGCCAGACGGGATACCACATTTACTAATAGCAAAGTAGTCAGTAGACGCTCGTTAATGAGCTTGCTAGACGTTGGTCAGACGACTGATTGATTGACCTGAGTCTGCCTGAATGGTCAGTCTCTGCTAGTAGACTCACATCTTAGTGAATCAAGGCCTATGTGTCTTCTGTTCTTTAGTAATGGATCTAAGTACCCATCTACAGTAGCCATTACAAGAGGTAGGACTGATAGAAATACTTTGATCCTATTGTTCTTGACGTATCAGACATTGAATATTATTAACTCTTCTACTCCTCCTTTGTTAGTCTATCCATCTAGCATCAAACTAATATATTTTGCCTCTTTTAGCTCGCAGATGAGTTCTTTCCGGATTACAGTTGCAATACGTAAGATGAAATCCTCGTATCTCTTGCATACTCCTCTCTCTCAGAAACCCCTAGTTTTCCCTTCAACTCTAACAAACCTTCAAAGTCTGTATATAACTTGCTGTTTTTTGCAATATAATAGGCCACATTAAATAGAACTTTCATGTGGTTGAACATCCCTCGATCCGATTTCTTAACACATGCAGCCAGTGGCGTAGCTTCTGGAGCCAACAGGGCATGTTTGGACTTTACACACATTTTATGTGCTGTATAGACTTTCCATATGTTTTCTAAAGGTTTCCAGTTTAAATGGTCCTGAAAACCCTTTCACAATCTTTGATTTGTGGTCAGCAATGTCAGGAAAGGAGGCACAAGTCTCACATATGGCTACACCTGTGTTATGGTCAAATTCCTTGCACCAAGCTTGCTTAAACTTCCTTCTTCCAGCAATTTGAGTGACTTGTTGAAGGGGACTCCTCTGCTGGTTGTTCTCTTGTGCAGTTTGATTCTGCAGTAACATATTGCTCTGCACTTTCTGAGCATGTCTTTGCATAGAAATTTGTAAAGATGCTTTGCATCTTCTGGCATCACAGCTTTTACTGCATGTTTCATTTGTTCTGAATTCCCAAACAATAAACAATCCTCATTCCAAGAGGCTAAGTCCCTCATTACCATATGGAGATTATTCAGTATCAAAAATTAATTGGGAGAAGTCTACTCTTCTCCTTCTAGATTCCTTCCAGTAACCTTAACATGTCTATTTGCCCATATTAAGGTTAATTCTCAGTTTAAATATCTAGGTATTACGATCTCTCCTAAAATAGTTGATTATATTACCCTTAACCTGGTTCAATTGATTTCATGTTTCAGGTCACAGCTTATGTCCTGGTGTAAGTTACCAATCCCTATGGTGGGACATAACAATATGATTAAGATGATTTGGGTGCCTCAGCTAATAGATACGTATATTGCAAAACTCCCCTTGTTTGATTCCCCTTAAATTGTGTCTGGTATCTTTAGAGATTTTATTTGGAAGAAGAAACCACCTTGGATTAGACTAGAATGTTTTCAATACCTCAGGGATATTGGAGGCCTGGCCGTATCAAATCCATGGTTGTACTTTTTGGAAACACAACTCTAACATTTGAATGGTTGGGAAAGCTGCTCCTCCACAAAAAATCTCTTACAAATTGATTAAGAAGCTGTTTAAAGGGGTATGTCCACTACACACCTTGGAGTCTTCAGCATATCTCAAATCTCCATCACAGCTCCCTACTGTTTGTTTGATAGGACATGTCTGGGCATCTGTGATGGAGTTACTTGGTATTATTTGTTATACCAGGTTTACTTCTATATGGTCTAATGATTTAATTCCTGAATTTAGGAAGTTTCAGGGGCTTCAGGCTTGGGCCAGAAGTGGCATTCTGACAATTTCCCATCTACAGTATGTGAAAATCAATTTTTCAAATCATTTCAGCAG